CAAGTTTATGATGTATGAGGGTACTCCAAAATTTTCTTTACAGAAAATAGAATTTTAAAACGAGCTTATTTGGGTGCAAAACATGTTTTGCATTTTTTTTTCATAACACGTATTTTACATGAACTTTTTGAAGATCCTTATACGCAGGTTTAGACCTCTTTTGTTTATCCTCTTTGAGGTTTATTGAACTTCATGTACCCAAGAATAGGTGACTTCTCTGTTTTGTTAAAAAAAAAAAATTAACTATCCATCTAACACTGCTCTTCCTGTTTTTTCTATTTCTTTATTTCTCTAGTTCTTCTCCTTCTATTTACTCTGTGCCAATAACTTCCACAACTTAGCCCTAACTGCATTCTGGGACACCCCGCAGACCTTCAGATCTAGCTTTCAGTTCTCTCCGTCTTTCAGTTCTTATACCTAATTTGCTTTTAAACCCATCCACTTAGTTTTAGAATTTCAATTACATTTGTCATGTCTAACAATTATATTTCCCAAAAGATATTTTATTATAGCTTTACTTTTTGTTCATATTGTTGGTTCTCTTTTCTTCTTTCTTATTTTTATGCAAGGTACATCTTTCTTCCGCACCTATTAATTCTATCTCGGAGGTCTTTGTAGTTCTGTTTTTGGTGGTTCCTACTTTGGTGCCTTGCTTTCTCTTATGTTTCTTGACTTTTGATTGTGATCTCAAATTCTTTACATGGGAAACTGCCAAAATTATTTGAGGTTTGTGTTAAAGAAGGGTTCTTTTGGATGGGATTTCTGTTTGTTTTGCCACATACAAAGGAACTCTACCAACCAAGACCACTTTAACCTATGTTCTTGGCTTATGGTTTTCTAGACCAATCTGCTATGTGAATTCTACTGAAAACTCAGCTCACGGTTCTTGGTCTCAGAGACATGTTGACCCCTCAGCAGCACCAAGGTTTAAGGCAGGAAATTTTCTTAACTTATCCTGGAAGCAAGGAGGCATGCTCATCCTATCTTACCTCTGCACTAGAGAAGGAGCCTAGGATTTCTGTCACACTCTCAGTTTTAGGTGGAAGGGATTTTCTAACACAGTTATGTCCTAGGCTTAGTTCCTGATCCCTGTGCCTCTTAGGTCATAGATTCAAAGCTCAAGGTCACCCACATTGGGCAATACTATCAAAGCTAATATCTGCATCAGAGCCCTGATTTCTAACTTTCGCTCAGCTTCTTGCTTCTTGAGAATTCGTTTTTCTTATTCTTCTTTTAATTGCCAAAGGTTGTGTACCCTCACCAGAGAGAGACAGAGGGAGAAGGAGAAAGCATACCCAGGGGGGGCATAGCCGCACTGCAACCCCTTCTCCATTTTCTATCCTGTCAGGATTCTGAGCATGAATCTGCATGTGCCGTGTGTGTGTGTGTGTGTGTGTGTGTGTGTGTGTGAGGTTCTTGCCACAGGGCACATGTGCTCACCAGAGAGACAGAGAGACAGAAAGACAGAAAGTGAGAAATCACCCCCTTGGGGGGCATGGTCATGCTGCAATCCCTTCTCCTCCATTCTCCTCTTGGGATCTTGGGCACGCATGCACATGTGCCTCGCATGAGTTTTAAGTCACTGGATCTGGGACTTGAACCGCAGTCAACTACATGGGAGTTCAGCCACATAGCCATTATGCTAAATGCTGGTCCTTGTGCTTAATAAAAGTTTTTGCCTTAGGGTGTGTGTACTTGCTGAAGACAGAGAGAGATCAGTGAGAGAGAACGTGAGAAATCACACCCCTGGAGGGGGTGTGTGGCCATACCACAATCCCTTCTCCTCCATTCTTCTCCCAGGATCTTGGGTGTACATGCACCCAGTATGATTTTCAAGTCACCAGGTCCAGGACTCATATAGCAGCTGGTCCTGTGGGAGTCCAGCAACATAACTGCTAAATCACCTGTCGGCCCATGCCTTGTGTTTTTCAAGATACTGGAGCCAGAATCTGACCCACAGTTGGCCATGTAGGAGCTAGCTCCCTTAACCACTAGGCTACAGGGCTGGCTCAAGAATTTTTTTACTTTTCTACTTCTGAGGTCTTTATAAAACGGTTTCAATGTTTAACCAATCAATTTAAATTGTCTTATGTGGGACACCGAGTCAGCTAAGGTAGGTAGCTAGTGTCCCACAGAGCCCAAGACAAAAGCCTGCACACATAGTTCCAAAGTTTTCACCTCTTTATCACTAGCTCTTGGTGAAATCATGGATAAATTTAGTTGGATGAAAAAAATAAAATAAAATAACTCAGTCTACGTAAATCTAACCCAATGCATTTCAACAAGTATTCATTAAAGATATCTAGAATGGGCCCACTTAGAATTAGAAGACACCAACCCAGGCTTGCCCAGCCCCAGATTTGGGTGAGTAACAGCTAACAATGATGGCCAAGACAGGGCCTGCTTAGGAGGTGGGTCAGTGCTAGGCTAAGCTCTTATGTATTTTGTATTTATTTTTTAAGTCTTGCTGTAGGGTGCATGTACGAGACACAGAGAAAGTGGAAAATCACTCCCCAGGGGGATTAGCCATGCTGCAGCCCTTACTCCATCCTCTTCTTAGGATTTTGGGCAATGCGTGCACCCTTGCCCAGCACGATTTTCAAGCTGCTGGGTCTGAGACTTGAACCAGGCAATCAGTCACGTGAAATCCAGTGCCTTAACCTCCATGCCACCTACTTGCCCCAGCTAGGCTAAACTTTTTAAAAATATGTATTTAATCTACACAACAGCTTTCTAATTAGAAATTACAATTAAGAAAACCAAGGCACAGGAGATGAAGTGTACAATTTGCTTGAAGTAACATAGACAGTAAGTTGGACCATACACAAAACTACACTGAAAAATGAGAAAACATGGGTCAGCAGCTGGCTTGGTGGTTAAGGTGCTGAACTCCCACATGACACACTGTGACTTGAGTCCCAGGCCGGATGACTTGCTCTCTCACTTTCCCTCTGTCTCTCTCTCTCTCTCTGACTGCATATGCCCTATGGAAAAAAAAATGAAAAACAATAACAAATAATATTAAATAAATCATTATTTTTAAAAATTAGAGACAAGAGTGGGTGACTTGAGCTCATATGAGGAGTAAGAGAAGGCGAGCGCACTTCTGTGACGGTGGTTGGAACTGCCGTAGGGGAGGTAGGCAGGTGGACTTCGTCTTCTTTGCGATGTATAAACGACGGTTTTCTTGCCCGTTGATACAGCACGCCATGTTCTGTGGTCACCGCACTGTCAACGCCTGCCCAAGCTGGAGGGTGCAGCTTGTCCTCTCCTCTGATAGAGAGGGAGCGTAGAGTCCCCCCACAGACCTTATTCATCCTTCCTCTTACTAAGAATGTTTCCTAATTAACCTCCTAGGCTTCAGGTGAGTTCCTTCCCAGCACAGGAGCCGAGAAACTGGGAACGATCAGTCCTGAAGACAAACCCAGTGGAGCTGCCTGGGCCCCGCCAGCTCTGCTGGAGGTGAGTGGCATTGGTCTGCCTCCTGCCTGTGGTAAGGGCATTTGCAGACGAACATGTGGGAGGGTGGATACATCGCAAGATAGCTTTTATAAAGTGACTAATAAAGAAGGAACGGGAACCTAATAACTACCAATTATAGAGGCACAAGAAATACTGAAAACAAGAAAGCAGAAAACACACAGAGCAAACAATTAGGACTGTTTTATTAAAACCATACTTGCCATTCAGCAAGCATTACTTCTCACCACTCAAGGGCGGCAATAGTTTATCATTTGAGTTTACACATTAAGAAGATGACACGGAGGGAGTTAATAAGCTTCTCCATCTCTAGGACACCCGGGGCCAAGATTAAAAGTTACTACACGCAGGCTGAGATGTCGTCTTTCATTACATTCTAAATCAGCTCCGAGAACACACTGCGTTTATTATTTTTCTAACATCACGTGACTGATTCTGGAGGAGCCGACAACATCTCTGGGATAAACCCACTGATTAAAAACATACTTTTAAAATGTCTCTTTTTTTAACCCAGTGGACTAAAACACATAAATTAGAGCTATTCTGGTCTACTGAGTACTATAAATGTACATTTAGTTGTAACAAAGTATCAGTTGGAAATATCTTTGGAAAGTAATTACTTTACAATATACACAGAATGTCTTTGAAATGCTTAAAGCAACTGCTCCATTTTAAAGACATAACTTAATAAAGAGGCACGCATATTAATTACAAAGCTCTAAGCTCTCTTGGCAAATTTGCAGCCTGGAGTGAATGTTTACAGATCAAATATCAGAAAATAAATCTTAGAAAATAAGACAGTATGATGCAGGCTTTCACTGCCTAAAATGTGAACTCCCTTCTAGAACCAGGACCGTGAGAGCTTCCCAAGGAGGGCCATGTAGATAAAGATTATTTTGGCTTTTTTATTAAATTCTCCTGTCTCCCTCACTCCTTTCTCCTTATTGATATCTAGCTCTACTGTACCACGATTAACAAGTTCCATACCTGAGCACACCACAAAGGTTGGAAACTCAAAGCATCAGAGCCAGCAGGTGGTATGGCGGTTAGGGTGCTAGACTCCCCCATGGCCGATCATGGTTTGAGTCCCAGACCTGGTGTCTTTCTCTCTCTCTCTTTTTGGTGACTGCATGGGCCCTATAGCAAAAGTTTTAGGCATAATAATAATAAATATAATAATTTCTTAAAAAAAAAAAAGAAAGAAAAACCTCAAAGCCTCACAGTAATTCAATGACTATGGTTCTTCTGGAATTTCTGCTTGGTCACAGTATGAGGGATTCCGGGGGAATGGTGTGGAGTGCAGCTAAAGAAAAGTACGTGCATTACGGGCATAGCTGTTGTGGCTTCCATGAAGTTACATGGGCTCAGTGTTACCAAATCATTCTACTTTTTTATGATCACCTGCAATTTTGGACCTATATGCAAAATTTCTTTTTTTTTTAAATGTTTTTTTAAAAGCATAAAAACAAAAGAATCTCTGTAGGCCAACACTAAAAGTAAGTCAAACAGAACATGGCTGCACGTTACATCCGGCCCATGGACCTCCAGTTCACATCTTTTCTAGCCCCTTGAACATGGGAACAGAGCCCCAGAATTTCTAGCCTCCATAGGGAACAGAACGAGTCCGTCCGTAGGTAAAGTCTCCTGTTCTTGTCCTCCCCTGCTCCAACCGCAGTGACCATTTCGTCTGTGACGTCAGGTACACCAGCCAACAAAATGTACCTCTGGGCTCTGACCTCAAAGAGGTGTGGGGAGAGAATTAGTCTGGTGGGACGTGTAGCTCACTGTCAGTATCAGGACAGAGGACTCCCAGGTTTGCTCAAGACCAGCCACCTGGACGGGCATCCTCACCCCCGCTCCAAGACACCGCAGTGGTTTCTGGTGTCTGCTGTGAAGATCTTACTCTTCCAGGTCTCCCCCAGCCTCCAGTCCACCGCTTTCCTCAGTCACTGCCGTAGAGTTGCTTTGTTCTTCTCAAGCTTCCCGAGGACAGTCCACTTAGAAGCGGCCTTGCAGACTTACCTGAGAGCCAAGAGTCATCAGAATGAGGTTCCAGGGAAGCCACGACAGTGAGACACTAGGACACCTTCCCACAAAGACTCCTGCCGTGGAGTTACAGTGAGGGCCAATGAACAAGCCCGCATCTAGCTGAGACGCCCAGCCAGCCAGATCACCCGTCCTTCCAAAGTCTATGTTGTCTCTCTGCTAAAGCAGACGATCCCACTACCTGGCCACGGTAGGTGTTAAAATGAGTCAACTCGGCCCAGCATATGGCCTATGGCAGAGGCTTCGACAGGAACGGCTGTCATCCTGTGCTCCTCCCATGTGGTCGCCTCTTCCCCAAGGCAGGAAAACATAATATTTAGAAATAATCTAAATGAAAGTCAAAACAGAGAACTTAACTGGGAAACTCAATGCCCAGAATCTCACTGGGAAATAGTGGCCAAGAATCTAGGCTTTGTCAGACGTTGTGCCACTTGGCAGAGAAAGCAGCTCTTGGCCTCCAGGAGAGGCGGCAAGGAAAAGGAGGAGGGAAGCCACCGCGGAGAGCGCTGGGGTCTAAGAATACCTCTGCCACTCCCTAGCCATGGGGCCTCACACAAGTCGCTTTGCCTGTTCAAGCCTAAGTCCTCACCTGTAAAAATAACAAGTGACCCCGTGGGACCTTCAAACCATGGCTGGATCATTCGACAATTCCATGGATGACGGAGATGAGAAGGGAGCCGGACCTCCCAGGGTGACCGTGCCCAGCACCCAGGCAGGCGGCCTGGCGGAGGAGCAGTCATGAAGAAGGCCTGTGGTGCTGGCCTTTTAGAAGCCCGGGGAGTGCACGTGGGAGCTGCACAATGCCTGGCCGGAATGCTAGGCCAGTGCTCTTTCGGCTCATTGGAATGGAGCTTGGCGGCTGCTGGCATGTCCCTCACTATATTCCAAGTGTCTCTGGTCCATGACACCCGCATCCTAATGGATTGTGCTGTCGGCAATGGGTAAGCATTGCGCTAATAGATGTCAAACAGCATTTACATTTCTGAGACGGCTTCATCTGCTCTCTCTCCCAAGACTCTCCAAACTGAAATTTGAACAGACGGGTCAGCACCGGACAGCTCTACTTCCAGAAATCTCCCGGGGAAAGCAACAATGATTTCATTATTTCCTAAACAGACAGAGGAGGCCAAGCTCAGTAAACAACAGCAACAACCACCACAAGCTGCTTCTCAACCTTCTCATCTTGGAAAGGCATGCCATTTCCTGAGAGGCACACGTGGAACTCTTTGTCACCTCGTCGTTTAAATAGCTTTCATTCATTCATTTAAAGCACACTTCACAATGAATTATATTGCTCATTAGAAATTCTGCAGAAGACCAGCAAGAGGTTTGGGTTTGGGAGAGCATCAGGGAGTTTTAGCATCTGGAATGGGAGGCCAGACTCAAACCTCGCCGTTAGATTCACCCAAGCAGGGTCAGACGAGCTCTCGGCTGGGGTTTCGGTCCTGAGAGTGTCTGTAGATCTCAGACTCGCCTGTCTGGGGACCACCTGTATTTGGAGCACGCTATGTCAGACACATTTGCAGCCCCTGACACGTGGTAATGAATGGGTTTTTCTGGTTCTCTCTGGATCTATTTTAAACTGTCATCATTTTAAACCATGAAATATGTCAAGTGATAATTAAACCTCACCATAGACAGGTACTGTGAAAATGATTAACTTTTACCATTCCTCCCATACACACTTTGACTATTCTGAATCCCCAAGGTGTGGGATCATTACATTGACAGATGAGAAAAGATGTCTTTACAATCGTTTATTTTTAAAAGAACCAAAACAGGGCTAAAAATTCTGTGTGCTTCCCATAGGGTTTTTATTTTGCAAACTTCTGGCTCATATTGAAAAAGGAAGCCTGGTGGGAGGAGAACAGGGCTCGCAGCCACGCTGTCCAGTTCTGCCTCACTTAGCTGTGTGACCTGCGGCAGGACCCGGCCCTCTCTGAGCATCGGTTTCCTCCTCTGTCAAATACCACTGATAATCTCGCCCCCTCCCCACAACCCACAGGCCTTCTTGTGTTATTGAATGAGAGAACAAACAAGAAAGCCCTTTGAGAGCCCAAAGCAGCCTTGGTAACACTACACAAGTACATTATTTTCGAATCTGTACAAACGGGAAAAACTGATACACAGTACAGCCTCACGGACCTACTGTCTTTAAAACAACCAACCTCCCCCACCTTAACTCATTCCTCATTTTCAGCTGAAGTCTCTAAGCATGAGATTGGATCTGACCCTATCAAGTCAACATCTCCTCCCAGCCACAGGACTCCCATTTCGTGTCCAAATATGCAGTGAGTCACATAAATGATGAACATACAAATGCATCAGCCAGGCAGCTGGACAGGAATGTTGCTTCCAGCAAGAAGGGAGAGCAGATACCCACTAAAATTAGTAAAACAAACAGATTGACATATATTAATAGTTTTACTCCCACGACTCATTTTCCAGACCCGTGAATTTTGTTAGAGGCCCATTTCTTCTGAAGCTGGGAGTCTCTGCTCCCCTCTGGCAGCAGTACCAAGGCACAGCCCCCACCAGGCCGGCTCAGGGCCCTGGGTGGGGGAGGGGTGCCCACAACCCCTAGCCCTGTGGGCATGTCACCTGCAGAAGGCTGAGTCCATGCTTTTGGTAATGAATGCTTCAGGCAGAATTGTACAAACAGACGCAGTAGAAAACGTGCTTTCTTGCGTGACCACAGGGAAGCCCGTTACAGATTTTTAATCTATTTCCTATAGTGTTCAAAATGACACCCATTTCTCTTCCCAGTTACAACACAGGATTTTAATGCCTAGCTCAGAGGGTATTCAGGAGGGCCGAATAAGAGACCGAGTGTGAAAATCTTTCCTTACAGAACTCTTCCAATCTCTGGCATTTTTATTAAAGGAGCGAGGGAACCAGCAGTTAGCGTAATGGCTATGTCGCTGGACTCCCACGTAGTCGACCGCGGTTCGTGCCCCGGACCCGGTGGCTTAAAACTCACGCCTGGCACATGTGCGTGCGTGCCCAAGATCCCGAGAGGAGAATGGAGGAGAAGGGATTGCGGCGTGACCATCCCCCCTGGGGGGTGATTTCTCGCTTTCTGTCTCTATGTCTCTCTCTGTCTGTCTGGCGAGCGCACGCGCCCTGCGGTGAAAATGTAAAAAAAAAAAAAGGAGCGAGTAAGACTTTTCTCCCTGAATTGTCCAGAATGGGTGGATAAACAGGAAGTTGCTCACACAGTGGCCCCTGAGCAGCCACTCTGGTTATATATAAGTGCCCCCAGCCTTCCAGCGGCACCCTGTGTCCCTGCCTGACACCTAAAACCCATTTAGAAGCACTAGCCCAGTTAGGCCCCACCAGGCCCTCCCCAAGAAAGAAGGGATCTCTCAGGGACATCACCGAGCAGAGCACTGGAGGTGCTGGGGCAGGGTTCCCTCCTTCACTTTCCGTCCTGTGCACTCTGGCTGGCGGGGTGAAGGAAGGCGATTATGTTTGGGGTGCAAGACGGAGACTGACCTCTCTCACAGAGGTTTTGACTACAAGATGCTCCATGAACTTCATCAGGTGGCTCCCGCCAGGGGCGACAGAACAGAAGACCCAATCGCTGGAAGCAGCTGTGACTTTAAAAAAGAACAAGTCCTGCACTGGCCATGAGAAATAAGAGTTCAAGCTCACACTCAGTGATGGCCTCTCTTAGCCTCAGGTTCCTGCTCTGAAGATGGGAAGAGAATCCCCCTCCCCACGTGCGAGTTTCCAAGGCGATCGGCATCCTTTTGGAATTGGAGGATCCCGATGTGAAATATCAATAATAAAGTAGAGGAAAATAGGCACAGGGATTTGTGTGTGTGTGTGTGTGCGCGCGTGCATGTGCGCCAAAGGATTAACGCACTCATGAAAGAGAGACAGAGAGACAAAGGGAGGAAGAAGGGGAAAGCAACCCCCCATGGGGCACCATTATAGTGCGACCCCTTTTCCTCCAGGACTCCCTCCTTTCAGGATTTTGGGCTTCATGCCCATGTGCCTGGTGTGTTTGCCAAACCACCAGGTTCAGGAATCAAACCTTGGGGTAGGTCCTATGGGATCTGGCTGCCTTAACCACCAGGGTACAGGCCGGCCCCAAAGAGGTTGTTTGTTGTTGCTTTAACTTCCTCACGTCCATGTCCCTTCACGCAGGCACAGCACTCACTCCCTTGGGAATCCACCTTCCTCCACGTCCGTTTCCTGATATCCTTAACGGGGTGCAGCTGTGCCTCTTGTTAAACCCAACAGCACACAGCATCTCTGTGGTCCCAGCCACTGATGGAAGGGGGCACAGGACCCAAGCCTGTCCAATCCGAGGGAACATTAGCACAGTCGTGAGACACATCAGGCCAGAGGATGTCTCTGTTCCACTGGACGTGCAGTTGGGAGGAGGGGATGCTAGTACTCACCAGGAAGGGGAGCCTGGTGAGGGTCAAAGCCAGGTTCTGTGCCCACATTGAGAGTGCCTGAAGCAGCACCCTGCACCTCTGCCCCCCTGCTGACCCATCCAGTTACACGGGCCAGTAAGTCCTCTCTTCATTCAGGCTATTAAATAGTTGGTTCGAGCTTTGTTATTTGCAATAAAAATTCCCCACTAATAGCATGTACTATTAAGGGTCAAAGGGAGACCCTTACCCAAGATAACCATGCTGTGGAGAGAAGACCCCAAGACTCGCCTCCACCAGAACATTCAGGGAGTTGTTCTTCAGGCGCTGCTGTTGGTCGCACGGAGCAAATTCCCTCGTACCATGTTGGAGAACCACCCGGGAGGTGGCTGGCTGTGGTGCAGCTACACAGGTAGCCTTTCTGCCTTCAGGACACTAGTGCATTTTCTCAAAGGACCCATTGGTAAGAGGAGGGACTTTGTCATCACTGTCAAACCAACACCATTCAGCTCAAGGATATTCCTATCAGCAACGATAAACCTTCAACAAACCCAAGAACCGTACTCATCTTTCCACAGGCGTTCTTTCTCCACTATAAGTAACAATTGTCAAGCTGGTTGTCACACATGGATGTAGAGACACTGAAGGGGTCAAGCAGCAGCTGAGGGACTGTGGCCTCTGGAGGGCAGGACAGGTGGCCGTCACTGGCTTGGGTACGTGGTGAACCAGCTCCATGCACTGTCCAACCATGATGACCACTCAGACAGTAGCCTGAGCCATCTCACTTTTAACTGTCTTTTATCCCTGAAGGCTATGTGTCACTGTCACATCCCACAGAGCCAGTGGCCGCCCACCTGCTCAGTTCTGTGGCACGTGTTCCTTGACCTCTTGGAAAGTTCAAGGCAAACTCATGTTCCCTCATGTAAAATCTAACTTCTACAAGAACTTTTCTATATGCAGGCCCTGAAGCATTTCTTTTCTTTTCTTTCTTTCTTTTTTTTTTTTTTTTGAGAGGTTTTTGCTATAGTACGCATGCGCTCACCAGACAGACAGAGAGAGACATAGAGACAGAAAGCGAGAAATCAACCCCCAGGGGGGGATGGTCACGCCGCAATCCCTTCTCCTCCATTCTCTTCTTGGGATCTTGGGCATGCATGCACACACGCCCGGCGTGAGTTTTAAGCCACCCGGTCTCGGACTTGAACCGCGGTCGACTACATGGGAGTCCAGTGACATAGCCATTATGCTAACTGCTGGTCCCAAGCCCTGAAGCATTTCTTAGAACTCAGTGGCAACCTTGGCCAAAAATTATAACCCAGATAGGAATGTACAGGGACGGGGGGTGAGTGACAAAGTATGGGTGTGGTGGGCAGTTAGCTAGAAATGAGCAGGCAGCCCTAAGACAATCGCATGAGGATATGAGCCTCATCAGTCACAATTCTCAGGAGTTCCAGTTAGACCCTCTGCAGAGTCTCCTTCCCTCCCAGCTCCTGGCGCTGGGAAGGCGAGGCAGATCTCATTTTCCTCTTTGGTACCTGAGAAAAGCACATAGGGATTTCCCTCTTATCATTCCTCATAAATACAGAAGGACCCACCGAGATGTGCTGGTCAACATCCTAATTGCCACTGGGGCAATAAACTGGGCAGTTTATCCAGGTAAGAATGCTCATGCCTTCCACACCGAGCTTGAGCTTGCAGGATTAGGTCATCAAAGTCCTCACCT